CACTTTGAAATGAAACTCACTTTCTTTTTGCATGTGTATTGTAATGCCACTGAGACTTTTACTGGGTTTCCATGCATTTTTCCAAGATGAGCAAGATCTGAGCTTCTGCCATAAGAAGGTGCAAAGAAAGAACTCTTTGATTAAAAACAGAGTAATTCAGCAGAAGACTCCGGACTTTTTGTTTTACAAGTCACATCGCTTGAAGAAAGAAATTGAAACTTTTGCTGCTTGCTCCAAGAATAGGGAGCCAGAGGAAGTTAGTGCACAATCTGTTGTAACACATTCTAGCGTTACAGCTGCTTAGACTGCATGCTTTTTAGTAATACATGGAAATAGATCTTGCAGGAGTAAAGTGACAGCTCCCTGGCTTCGATGCCAAAATCTGATCTTTTCTCTCTTTTTAAAAAAGGTCTAAATATCGTACTGAGTACATGAGTTGCTGAAAAGATGTGTCTTTCAGAGAAGGCAAATTACTAAATATTTTTCAAGAAGCAAATTAAAATCTCTCTGCTTGTCATTTCTTTATATTGTCAATAAGTAATGGATGCTGGGAGGATGTACGTTGAATAAAATAAGATAAACTGAATATTAAAAATGTAGTCAAAGACTAGACAGTTTTCTCCATTAACAATTATGTAGATTCTCTTCACTGTGGTTCCTGACCCTTTTTATGTCTAACTGTGCTGAGCATATATTAAAAATATTTAATAGGATCCTTTTTGCCTGCATCACTGAGCCTGTAATACAAATAATGAAATTAGTAGGAGAGTTAGAGCCGCTTCTTGTTTGCCTGAAACTTGGGCTAGGAGTTGTTTCACTTCCCCCCCGGGAGAGGATCATCTAATTGTCCTAACCCTTTCTCCACCCACCAAAAACAGTCATTTATGCAAAGTGGGACAGTTTCCAATGGGATCTCCTGTGGGAATTTGAAAACAGTCTCATTGACTGTCTGCTTGGTGTTGCTGACAGAGTAACTATCTCTTCTTTGAGGGCTAGAAAAATAGAACTTCACTCTTAGGCATTTTGCCTAAATATGTTTGTTTAAATACAAGGCTGGCTAAACAGCTATATATGTAATGCTCGCTTTTTTTTTTATAGACTTCTCACAAGCTGCGGGCAGGTTTGTACGTTAGTCCAAAGATTACACAAAAGACAGCAGCAGTGAAGGAAGACAAATAAAGCAGCACTGGGATTTAAGCTTGTTGATTCCAGCTCATCCATCAGCAGACAAAACGCATAATAAAAAGTGCATGGGTTTTGATGTGTAAAGAGTGGCTGATAAGTGGGTAACAACTCAGTTTCCTTTAAACTGATTCCAGGCTGCTTTTTGGAGAGTTGTTTGGCCTAGGTTTCTGTTTCACCCGTACCTTGTGAATAAACATACCCTTCAAGGGCTGGTGGTCACTCAGCTATTGGAAATACTCACTCCCACTTTCCCAGAAGGGCACGTGTATTTGGGGAAGAAAGACGCGGACTGTGTCATCTGCTGACTCGTGGTTTAATCTTTATTTTGCGCTTCCAGCTGATAAGACCACTTTGTGCAAAAGTAATACAGGAAATGATGCACTGCAAAAACCAAGAGTGGCAGAAAGGGAAACGGAATGTACTGGCAAGGGCTCAGCACTGCGGCCGCGCTCTCTGCTTCTTGGAAACAAAAAACTCCACCTACCCTGCCTTTTTTTTTTTAAGCTTGATACTGGTATTGGAGCTTAGTGTGAATAGTATACAGCAGCCTGTGGGTTTTCTCCCCCTTTACTTAATCTTGTGGCTTTTTTTTGGGTTTGTGGGTGGTTTGTATTTTTTTGGGGGGG